ACTTCATCACTGGCATTTTGCTACTGTGATGAATGGGGCGACCCCTGTAAAAGGGTCGTTCAAAGGGGTCCAGACCCACGAGTTGAGAACTGCTGTTTTAGAATGTTGGTCCCCAAACTTATTTGGCTTACTGGCCTCCATTCAAGAAGAAATTTACTCAGCGTCCCTCCTGGCAATGAAAAATGTTGTACTAGAACCCATGATCCAGGTTAAAGTGTAGGTAACTGTTTTTCCAGCCCCCCGGATTGTTCCAGCGCCCCAGACTCCACAACGCACCGCCATCCAGTCAATTCCAACACCCAGAGACCCTATAGGGCAGGATGGAACAGCTCATATGGTGTCCAAGACTGTAACTGTTTACAGGAGTAGAAAGGCATGTTTTTCTCTAGCAATGCGCCGGTGGTGTCAAACTCCTGACCTTGTGGTTTAGCAGCCCAATACGTAACCATTACGCCGCCGGGGTGAGGACTTGCAACAGACTGCTTGTCTTCTTCTTCATCTTAACCTAATGTTACAACATCATGGGGCTGGTGTCTGTTTGGGGTGGGGGGTGGGGGAATCTACCCCATGGCAGTTAGCAAAAGCAGCAGACAGGAGAACCTTGTTCTCTGCTCTGCTCCAGGGAGGGTGGCGGGGGTGGCCATATTGAAGGCCTGGTGACTCCCGGGCGCATACACTGTCCCATCCCTGCCCTCAATGTCTCAGAAGGAGCCACCTGATCCAAGAAGAGATGCTGAGTCTCAGAGAGGGGAGCCACCTGTCCAGGTTGCCGCAGGGTGTCAAGTGGGGCCCTCATGGTTTCGGATGACCTGCCTGGTTGCCCTGGGCTATAGCTGCACCATCAGACACTGTCGTATCGACAGAAGTAACCACGGGCTGTTGGCTCTTCCCGGGACGCTGGGTAGAGTCATTCAGAGCGGTTATGCAGAGGCATCCAGAACAGTTCTGTGTCTGACCTACCGTCTAGTCTGGCCTCGTTTCAGCCTCTAACAAAAGTAGGGTGGCCGACCCCCGGTGATAGAACTGTTTCCCTTTCTACGAAGAAGGCTGGTGTGTTAGGCAGGGTTCTCTAAAGAAACGCAACCAGGACACTATGATTCTCTATATTTATATGAGGATAGGTTTATACAGTGAGAAGGAATATAACAGCTAATCAGTCCACACAGCAGTACAGAGGGCTCAGATCAACGCACTTCTGTGGAACAGTTAATAAACTGGAAGTCCTTCAATTCACGTGGGCCGATGGGTCCAAGATCAAGGACGCAGACCCCAGAGTGCTCCCTGGGACAAGGCAAGCAGAGTCTGCCCTCATGCAGCAAGCAGCAGTGGGGGTACTGACAACAGTCAGTAGCTCGGGGGCTTACCGAAGGAGGCCTGGATGGGATGTCAAACACAAGCAATGCAAGGCGATGGAATCCACCAGCTTCAAGCTCAAGCAATGTATGCAACCAGCAGCGCGGTGAAGCAGGCCCCGAAGGAGCCTCAAGCTCTAGTGACAGGATCCACGAGTTGGCCTGGCCCACAGGTAGTGCAGCTCACAGATTGAAACAGAACTACCTCCAGCAGCACATAACCTCCATGACGCTCGGATCACCAGAGAGCAAAAAAGAGCGGGGGCAGGCCTTTTATCTCTCTGCCCTCCAATCAAACAGCTACCTGATTAATCCCACATGTTCCTATTGGCCAGGTTGGCACAATACACCTACCTATCACAGCTAGTAAAGCCCCCAGAATCTGAATGTGGCGTATGCCCGCGCTGTGAGATCTAAAGTTCTCATGAGGTGCACAGCAAAGCACCAGGTCAGCAGGACCTGTGGTGCTGACGTGTGCGTGTGTGCTGGGGCAGGCTCACTTGTGTCTCCTCACTGAGGAACACAAGATAAGGCACTGACCAGTCAGAAAGAGAAGTAAACCCAAGTGAAGCTTGTTTCAATAAGTGAAGGGGTGGGGTGAGAGAAAGTAAGACAAGCACCCAGGAAAATGGACCCTCTCCCCAGTACAGAGCCCACAGGATCAAACCAACCTTGGCGCCTGCCCACCTCCATCGCTGCCCCCTCCCCACAGGCCCTCTCCTGCCACGTTAACAAGCAAACAGAGATCCTGCCTGCCAGTGCCTCTCACTGGCTGCACACGCTTAATTGGGGGGCGGGGAGTAAACCAAAGTCAGAAGAG